CCCATCCCTATCAGCCAGGTAAAGGTGCTATACGGGGGTACGGAGCTGTTTGACGACGAGGTCAGGCGTACCTTCCACAACGACATGCTGCTGGCGCTGGTTAGCGGGGCCTGCATCGCCGCTCTGGTTTACATCCTGACCTCCTTCTCAGGTATACCATTCCATAGCTCCGTCTCCATCATCCATCCACCATCCAGCCCGCAGCTGCTGCTACTCAACAGTCCATTAACTACCGTGAAATATGCTGCACCTGTCTCGGCAGGATCATTCGTTGAAAAAGATTCACTGTGGTTTTTATCCTTGGAATATTTTGATGCATTTCCATGTCGAGATCTATTAACATAGTCGATCCACCCAGAAGCATCTGTACGGGCTGTCAGACTTTTCTTTTGTGGAGTGAGGTGGTAACGTGGGGCTCCCCCTTCTGGCCGGCTGCCCGTCTGTCTCCCTGCAGTGTTCCTGACGCTTTTTGGCCTGGCCAGCATCGGCCTCAGCTGCCTCCTGGCCCTCTTCCTGTACCATGTGGCATTTGGTGTCCGCTACCTGGGTATCCTCAATGGAGTGGCGGCATTTGTCATCGTTGGCATCGGTGAGTGCCAGTCCGTCTCCAGTGGCCCTTGGGGGATCCGCCTACATGGCTTAATCAAGCGGGGTAACGGTCCTTAGGGAATCAGGCAGGACGCAGCATATTAGAGTATAATCCTGTGCCCGTCCCCCCCGCACCCTGCTGTCCCCGTCTCCCCCGGACGCCCCGGTCTTCAGGAGTAGACGACGTCTTCGTCTTCATCGGAACCTTCCGGCAGGCCTTCCGCATGACGCAGCCCCAACAGCGCATGGTCTATACTCTGAAAACGGCCGGCCGCGCCACCTTCCTCACCTCCTTCACGACTGCTGCTGCTTACGCCGCCAACGCCTTCTCGCAGGTACGGGGGGCAGGGAGCGGGGGGGTGGGGGGATATAGCATGGGGCGAGGGAACAAACATGCCCATTGTGATGAGACTGCACATTAGAATCTCATTTATTACATTTATTTTGGTGGTTTTTCCCTCAATGGGAAATGAATTATGTCGCATCAGGGTGATATGATATTGAGCGTGACCCCCCTGGCTGTTTTGATTTGCCTCAATTTTCACCCGCCGTTTCGGCGCCGTGGAGATGGGACACTCAGCGGCACGAGGGCCCACCGTGATGATGGCTTTCTGTGTGAGGAGCCGGGCCCCCGCTGAAGTGTTTCCCGTGTGGGTGTGTATGTGTGTGCGCTCGCCCTCAGATCCCGGCAGTGCAGGATTTCGGGCTGTTCATGGCGCTGATCGTCAGCTGCTGCTGGCTGTGGGTGTGCCTGATGATGCCCGCCGCGCTCGGCGTGTGGAGCCGCTGCCTGGAGCGGCATGAGGGCACCTGCCTGCGGCGGTACGCACCCCCCCTCCCCCCCGCACCGCCCAGCCCCGCCCCGCCCCGGCTGACACAGCGACCACCCCACACCGGCACCTCCTGATGTTTCCTCACTTCCTGTCCAGGTGTTGCCCTCCCCGTGGGCAATCAACGGGCTATACCCCCTTGTCAGACCAGGATGACGACGTCGCTCTCCTGTCAGTGGACATGGATTTGGGTGAGAGCGGCCATCTGAGATTGAAGGCCGTGTGATAAAATTGTCTTTTATTCTAGGGAGTCACTTAAAACATATAAGTAACACGTTTGACTGTTGATTACCTTTGACATTTAGATGTGCCGTTGCCAAGGAAAATGCTTTCAAAGGACTGCAAAATGGAATTTTTAGTGAGCACCCCCCTCCTGTCACGTACAGGGTCCTTTGATCCAGAGTCTGATGTCCCCCTGGTGTCACTTCAGGTGACATTTCCTCCCAACCCTAAACATGGCGGAGCAGGCATGGTGTGCTCTGGCCTGCAGGGGGCACTGCAGCGCTGGGTGGCCAAGCCTGTGGTGGAGAACCGCAGAGTCATTATAGGTCAGTAACAGCGCCTTATCCTTCTCTTCACCCTCTTATCTGCTCCAGTTACGGTTTCATGCACTTTTTCCAGTGCAGTGTTTCCCAACGCAGTCCTTGGGGACCCCTAGACGGTCCCCGTTTTCGTTCCCTCCCAACTCCCAGTACAATCCTCGAGGACTGGATTGGGAAACAGTGTTCTAGGGTAACAGGACCTTGGGTCCATAAACCGATTGCTATTTGGTACTGAGTGATGTTGTGCCGTCTTCCAGTTCTCTACATCCTGGTTCTGGTGGTGACCGCTGGGTTCTGCTGCCTGCTGAAGCCCGCCAGTCACGCCCCCCTCCTTTTCCGCCCCGACACCAACCTGCAGACGCTGCTGGGGTTGCGTAGCAACCTCAGCGCCCAGGGCATTTCCTGCCACACCTGCTCGGGTAAGCCCCCCCCCCCCCCCACGGTCCCCCTGGCCGCCCCCACGCCGCACAGTCCGGCTCGGTCATGCCTGAACATCTCAGATCTATCCCCGTGTTGGTGACGTGTCAACCCCTCTTCAGGCCTCTTCATGGAGAAGCCACACTCCCTGCGCAGTGCGGCCCACACTGCGTGCCACACTGCGCCCGGCTCAGGCCCCGATGGGCACCACTTGAACCCGAGCACTGTGGTGGGACACACTGCGGACAAACACAGTACCAGCATCCACCAGACAGGTTGGGATGGAGGCTTCTTTGCACCTCCTGCTCTGGATAAACCGTTACATCATATGTCCTTTCACGGCGTAGCTTAAAAGCATAGCTTTTTTTATTATTATCATTATTTTTTGTTTTGAAGTTTTATTCAAACAGATATTTTTCCAAAAGGTTAATTTAGTCTCATTTAATCTTAGTGTAGTCCCTTAACCACGATGCCCCCTGCTGGGCATTGTGTTATATTGATTCAGCCACACTAACAGGCATTCAGTGGTCAGTGTGATATGGGGTGTGTCTCCCATTCCCTGCTACAGACAAGCTGTTCACCGTATACGTCTCGAAGCTGGAGGCGGACACCGGAGTCACGCTGTACCGCTTCTCCCAGAATTCCAGCGTGCCATCGCCCTGGAAACCGCTCACCCCCGGACAGGGGGAGGTGCCCTCCTTTCAGGTGAGCTGACCGCGGGCCGGTAGGCTGTTTCTGGGGTGGCAGGAAGGAGAACAGGGGCTCTGACGATGTCAGGCTGCCTCATGTCGGACCTGTAACTCTCTGCAGTGCATGACTGTGTCCCGCCTGCTGCAGTTTCAGTGAATTCTAACGGTAATGGCTGGGTTTTCCTCTGCCACTTTGCCAGTCCTTCACCGGACCTTGACTGCATCGCATCTCAAAAGCTAACGTGTTCCTTTCAACCTCAATCTTCCCCTGCTCAGGCTTTCAGCGGCCCCCACAGCAATTTCAGCACGCGCATGACGGTGTGCGCGGCCCACGCAGGGCGCCCCCGCTGGATGATCACATCGCAGTCCTGCGACACCGGCCGCGGCTGGGGGCCCGAGTTCAGCTTCTACGTGGCCTCGGCTGAGCAGATGCAGAGCAGGTGGGGACAGACGCTCTTGGCTCCGCCTTAAACCGCCCAGCGCGCTGCTGCTGGACCTCCTTATATTCACACGGCTACAAGATCATTCTGGACTTAAAACAGCAATGCTGTAGTTACGACCTGGGAGGTCTATCCCACAAAGTTCTTTAAAAAATTAGCCCCAGGGCAGACGGGGGCATTCTGCGACACTACAAGCCCCCGGCAGCAGGCGATCAGGCTGACTGCCAGCAGCAGGTCTAGGAGCCTGAGGGCACACCTGAGAACCACAAGCCCCCCCACGAAGCATCCAGGCTCCACCAGGCGGCCGAGTCGCGTCAGATTAAAGTGTCTGTCGAGTAATTAAGTGACACAAATGAGGCTCGTGGATGGAAGTGACCCCCCTCGACGCTTCCGCAGGTCATCTCAGAGATCTGGGGCATTCTGATGAGGGCGTCTGTTAAATGAAGTAATAAATTAGAATATTAAAAGTGACACGTTTTAGCTGCGGGGCACATTAACCAAATGCCTCTTACTCTCTCTTTGTCTCTCTCTCTCTCCCCCCAGAAAGCTGTATTTTGCCCAGCTCAGACGCAGCCCTTACCCCAGCAGGGTGTGTGTGGCCCCCCCCGGCTGCGTGATCAGTGCTGGGCCTGACGGACCCACCAAGGGCTCCTTCTATACCCCCCTGGCTGCAGGTTTGCCACTCGCTCTATCTGCGCCGAGAAGCTTCAATCGCCACGGTGACCGTGCGGTGTCCTGCTTAGTAACTATTCAGGGTTTGCATATGCATGCGTTTGATCTTTTAGCATCAGATTACCCTTAACAGCCGTGATCTGCCTGTGCTGAGTTATGGTTATGAATGCCAAACAAATAAATAAAGCTGCAGAATAAACAGTATGTTAATTCGTTGATTAATCAGAGTCGGTGTATTCTGTGGCGGTGTATTCCTGAGGGCTTTCATCTTGTCCCAGCTCCAGACCCCAAGCCAATCAGTGCTTCAAAAACCTCAGGTTTCAACCCCTGCGGAGGGGGTGGATGTGGGCGGCCGGCAGTGCGCCCTCTGGTGGACACCGGTGCCATGGTGTTTGTGGTGTTTGGGATTCTGGGAGTTAACCGCACCCAGCGAGCCGACAACCACGTCATTGGGGACATGGTGAGGGGGGAGGGGGACACATGCAGACCAGGGTCACCTACATTTATGCCCGTTCCCTTTTAATGACAGCCCTCTCCCCGCAGGGTAGTGTGGTCTATGACCCAGACTTTGACCTCTTCAAAGAGATCGGGCACCTGTGCCAGCTCTGCAAGGATATCAGTGCCAATGTGCACCTAGTCAAGCCTGGAGGAGCCCAGTGCCTACCCTCAGGTACCCCCCCCCCTCACCCCACCCCTCCCCCAGAGCCGCAGTGGGTGGTTCTGCTACAGGAAGAGTCCTGCTGTTCTATTCATGACTGTGGTGCCAAACATCAGTATTAATGTGGCGAAGCGTCCAGCTGAGGAAAGGGTGTGACTGAAAGCTGTATGAGATGCTGCGGATATGAACGACAGCAGCAGCAACCAGGGGCGCTTGGGGGGGGG